AACTGAAATCGTGTTTCTACTACATTGACATCGTGTTTTTACTAAATTGAAATCGCGTTTCTACTGAAATACTATTTCTACTAAATTGAAATTGTATTTCTACGAAATTGAAATTGTATTTCTACTAATCTGAAATCGTATTTCTACTAAACTGAAGTATTCCTACTAAACTGAAATCGTTTTCCGATCATTAAACGCCCGTGCTCTCTCTACGGACTCCTAAAACCGTTTTTGAATTTCGTTATTTCAACGGATTCGCAACACTTTGCACCTCCATGGGGCTCTAAACTACAGAGATGCACGAGAATCGTCTGATTCTATGATCCATTCCAGCTTTTCACATCGTCGGGATAAGCTTCGTCGATCATATTTACAGAGTTGGATCCAACTTGCGACGAAACGAATTTCGTGTATCTCTGATCGTACGAGAAATTATGCTGTAATTATAAAATACGATTTAAATAAAGCCGAATCCATTTCACGAGGGACGTCTTTGTGGCACGGGTATCAAAGACATCGGAAAATTGTTCAACCGATTGAAACAACAAAAAACAAAAGACGAGAGAAAAAAAGAACAAATTCCTAAACGAGGGAGCGAACGGGCTTTCAAACCGCGCCCCACCAAACGAACTTCTTAACGTGTCCTGCGCATTCAATAAAATCCCACCCCTCTTTATCTCGAAGAACGTGTTTCACCCGTGCTCTGAACTGCCATTATTACACTCTGCGACTATAATAAGTATGTACCTATGTATATAAATTTCAAGCACTTGGGTTTGCGATTCAGCTTCCGTCTGGTTTCGTCGATTAGTCTTTAATTAACCTGTACCCGTGTTAGCGCGTGCGCGCGCGCGTGTGTGTGCACAAATATAATACGTATATATATATATATATACTTTTTGTCTAAAGCTGCGTCTACACTATATAGCAAAACAGTGTTATCTAACAAATTGTTATATAAATTTGTCGTGTAACATGTTTTTATAACTTGTTGCAAAAGTACACCTTTTGACAAGTGTGTACAACATTTTGCATCTCGTTATTAATAATGGTATCGCACTTGATGGATAATATATAACTTGCTATATATAACACGAAAAATGTTATGTAACATCATGTTATATTCTTTCTGTTCTTGTAACAAGTTTTACTACTTTGCTATATAACACGTTATATTATATAGTGTAGGCGCAGCTTAATACGTGTCGTGAGTGAGTCTGTATTTGTCACACACGTCGCGCACAAGGAATGACGAATACATCGACGAGACATTGTTTTCGGATGCACGGGTGTGTGTGCGCGTACACACACACGTTTTCGACACCGCGGGATCGATTTCTCAGGTCTCGATCTACTCGCGGCCTTTTGCATTTCGTACACGCGTTCGTCATAGGTCAATCTGTTCTTTTCCCCTCGTCCGACTTAACGCGATACCACCCCAACCCTTTTAATGCTCATACGGCATTGTTAAGCGTGTACTTCTCTAGCAGCCCTTCTCGGTTTTGCATCCGTACAGTGCGTTTATATACGTTTGCAGCAAGCAAGAGCGTTTCATATATAAGTCCTCTGTGTGTGTGGGTACGTTCATATATGTATGTGTGTGTGTTGCACGCGCGTATGTGTAAAGTGTGAAAAGTTTGTCTCCCGAAAGGTTCAACCTTTCACTTCTATGTCATTTTCTCCCTCTCTTTCTCTCTTGTGGTAGCCCGTAAAAAGTATGTATATAAACGAATACTGTTACCTACAAATATAATGAACACATTACTTTGCCTTTTTTTTTTCATCTCCCCACCCCGCGAGAGCACCGCCCTCGCTCTCTCTTTCTCGTTTATCAATAAACAGATTTTTTGCAATCGGCCGCGACGAACGTTTTTTGTTTGTTTCGTTTTACTTTAGATACGCGTCCGTTTACAGTTATATATATATAAATCGCGCTGCAATCGTTCACACACGAACGATTGGTTCGTCGTGATAAAATTATTAAGAATCATTGTTGTTAGCAACGAAATGCTAGAAAAAACTTGTAACTAAAACTCGTAACAATAATAATAATAATTATAATGGTGATAATAAGAAATATTAATAATAATAATAATGTTAAAGTCAATAATTAGTAGTGTTATTCCTCTTCGCGGTTTTCTCACCATATTTCTCAATCTTTCTATCTCATCCATTCTCTCCCTTTCGCACGCATACACGTTTTTGTATATAATTTTTTAATATGTATGTATATATGCTTGTATGTACGTATGCGTGTGTGTATATATATATATATATATATACCTATATGTATGTATATATACATATAATATATACATTATTTATATACATTTAAAAGCGTAGATGAGTCTATAAGATCGCGCGAAGAGACATTTTTCTTTTCTACTTGTAAAAACTACGTTGCCGTTTACTTCACGAGCACCGTGACAAACAAATTAAAAGTATAAATCGTAGTGAATCGTTTCCTTCTTTGTTTCATATTCTCTTTTAAAGGGAGAGATCCGTTTCTCATAGCGAACGCGAATAAATCTTGGGCCGAGAAAGCATCCCCCGGCCGTATCGACAGAAAACTACTAAAAACATCGTTCGATCCCTCCCCTCCCTTTCAAGCTTCTTCGACACACTCCGTTGTCTCTGTCCTTCGTCAAATAATTTTCAATAATTAATAACAAAAATAATCGAGAACCGCTACACGGTGATTCTCTATTTCGTTTGCTTATTGCACCCGTTTCACAAAGTATACAATCGCGAAAACCGAACGCGGCACCGAGCGATAATCTAAACTTTCCTCGTCGCGACGCGATGTTTCTCTAAGAGAAACAACGAAGGATCGAGACGGAGAGTGTACAAAAAGAAAAAGAAAAATGACGGCGATAAACTACCTAGTATCACGTGTCGGTTCGTGGAGTTTGATTGGCGGCCATCGTCGGATTAGAAAAATAAAAAAAAAACCGGGCAAGAGAACAGACCAAACGACTTCGATTTGTAACTGAATTACCCTACACGTATGTATGTGCTCTTTCCTCTCTGCCGGGAAGAAACGATCGTGTGAAAAGAAAAAGAAAAAGACGAAGACTGCACGAAAGTAGGATCTAAAAAAAGAAAGATACGCGAACGAAAACTCTGTTGTGTGCGCTAGATGCAGACTGTTTCTACCTATCTATTACACACACGCTTTGTGACACATTCACGCTCTCACCTATTTCCAAGAAGATTCCCTGAATACAACCACAACCAGATGCATTTGGATCGTGTCATTTCGAAGGCGGCTATACATATGTCGGAACTTTCAGGTCGCACAGCGACCATTTATAAATCGACCGGCAAACAATTACTATTTAGGGACAACGATTTTGTAGGGATGAAAACCATTGCGATTTGTATAATGGAGAGAATTATACGTCGTCGCAGTTAATCGGTTTAAGTTCTGTCGTGCTGAAATGGCATTTATTTATTACGAGACGCGATTCATAACTTTCGATCCGCGGTGTCCAGAATTAATATTAATTCGATCATCTAGACCGAAGAATCAACAGTTTTGTTTCCGTCGAACTCGTGAAAATTTCGCGTAGAGCTGCGACGAATACGAGAAATAACTGTGTGTGTATATACATATAATATAATCGCGTCCACCGTGTTAGTAAATTCGATCGCCAAAACTCGCTCGGTTAAGGATTCGTCTGAATAAATTATCGTGTCAACGGGCGACCATAGGCGGTTCAGACAAGGAAACCTACACGAGTCACTTTGTTCCTGGATATCGATACGAGTTTTGGACAAAAAAATCGCGTGTTTTTTTCCTTCTCTTATTCGTTCTGAAACAAAGAACGATTCGCCTAGAACCGGGTCGGGGCTGTAAAATACCTCCCAAGACAAGTTTAGTTGGGAACCCAGCGATACTAACCACGGTTGCATAAATTTCTGATAAGTCTAATTTTCTCCTCGTGTGTTTCTAAGTTTTCGAACGAAATTCAAAAGGGGATGAGATCGAACTTCGCTATACCGGGTTGTTCAGGAGCTTGTCCTGAATTTCGTCGAGACATTCCCTATGATTAGCCTTAATCTTTAAATGCACAATCTCGGCCTAAGCGGCGAAACTATAAACGCGGGACGAAAAAAAAAAAAAACAATAAATAGTGATTCGTTAGATGCTCGTCGCGATCTCAAATCCTTCGAATCTCGTCCGGTTCCGTCTTGTAATATATTTTCTCTAAAATATATACGCGTCGCCGCGTTCCCAAGCTGCTCAGAACCGGTCTCAGTCGATAATCTACGCGATAAGACGAGACACTGATCGAGAATTCGAATAATAAAAATAGAATTTACTTGATATTCAACGTGACGCGCTCGTACAGTACCGTACTTCCTTTCTCACGCACAGTGTTCATTTTACCGCGAATGTAAAGAAAACAAACGGAACCGCCCCCCCCCCTATGAAAAAGATAGAACCTCGCGACCAGTGTGTACCGTCTATGGCTGACCTGGACCCGGTTTTGGATCCCTTACTAATACCTCGTGATCTCGTCCAAAAAAAAGCGAACAAAAACAAAAACTCTCTCCCCTTTTTTCGCGGCTCGCCACTCGAAGAATCCTTTACAAATATAAACCATCTTCAAAGCTCATTTATCGGGTCTCCTTTGATTTCTTGTGTAATATTTGGCACCAATTCTTTAGTGTATTCCCTGTTCGATGTGTCATTGATATTCGATTCCTCTTCAAGTAAACGAAACTTGGCCTCCTATGCTCTCTCCTGGTTCAAAACGCGGATCGAAGGATTCGATTCGCCCGTGTTATCCGACGTTTCGCGATCAACATTGTTATCATCATCGAATCGTGAATCACAGAGCCGCAAAACGCAACGTGCGCATTTCTCTTCCATCGACTTCTCTACGCCGCCGCCGCCGCCGCCGTCGTCGCCGTCGTCGCTGCCGCATCCCCTTCGACGCGCTGCTCTCGATGGTCCATCCGTTTATGCCGCGACCAAAGACGGGTCTCTCCTGCTCTCTGTCGTTCGCGCGCACATCGAAATCTCGTCGTATCGGAACGTCGAGTGGGATTGTCCGCCGATCCTCTTACAAAATTAGACTCAAACGTACCGAATAGGGCAGTTGGCCGGTTAAAACTGATACAATCCGGTGATTCCTTCCTCAACGCGTCATGGCGAGACTCCTCCGTAGCTGACTTAGCCTAGCACGGAGCTTTTCCTGCCGTCTCCTAAGTTCCGTCACCTTGGCCACAGTGATCTGACCGATTTCGGTCAACATATCACAGTAGACAGCTGCCTGCCTAAGGATCGCGACTTTCGGCGCCTTTTCCTTGGACTCGACCGCTGGGACAAGAACTCGAAGCTCCTCGAACGCGTTCCGTAGCTCTATTCGCCTTTGACGTTCCATGTTGTTGTGTAAACTCCTCTTTTCGGTGTCCAGTTCGTCGTCGGAGGAACTTCTCGACAGTGTGGGCGCGGTAATTTTCATCGGGGTCGATGGCGTGGTGATGGTGGTGGTGGTGGTGGTAGTGGTGATGGTGGTGTTCATACATCGGCCTACCTTGTTCCGCCTCTGGTACGGCCTGTGACGCGCCCGTTTCGCTGGTTTGTGATCGGGCTGCGCGGTCCTTTTCCTGGCTGGATTCGACGGTGGCCTGCCCCGGGGTCTCGGTGCCGGGGCTTTGTCTTTGAACGCTGTGTTCACTGTTAATTGGAAGTGCTGTTGATCAGCGGGGCTTGGATACGTCGGTAGAGCCGCTGGTCTGCAGGGTTTCTCGAAGGTCACTACGTCGATCTCTTCCTCCTCTGTAATAGAACAAACAAGACAGAGACGATGAGATTCTGGTTGTCGTCACATGAAATTGATAATAATTGTAACCAATATACGCCAAACAAAATATACACAGACACCACAATATGTTACACGATTCTTTAAATTACAATAATTAATTACGGAAGTTCTGAAAGGAAGATGAACACTTTGCGAAGATATAACGTTCTTCGATGAAATTGTTATACGAGAATCTGTTTAACTTAATATTTGTCAATACCATCCATCGAAAAGTCCATTCCTTGATTCTTCTTCGATAAACAGTCGCGGAAACTGTGAGTGTTGCAAAATCAAAGAAGCCGGCAATACGTAATTTCGTTGTGCAACTTGGAATCCTTGCGTGGACTCAGCTTCCTTTAGAGGCTATTAGCAGCTCCACGGTCGGCCATAAAACGTCGCCAATTAGTTGGGACGAAACAAGCACGCCTCTGTCTCAACTTCGACAATTCTACATTCAGGGTGAAGGCTGTCTGCGAACAGCTGAAGGATCGTGTCACGCCGCCTCAAGAGAGAGAAATGAATAGCGAGCGGATTCGAAACGGTTAAACGGAATAGAACACAGTACGGTCCGGTTTAGTCCGAAAGAATCAGGTTCGGTCTCTCACGAACAGCGGAGGCAAATTTCGTTTCTCCATGAGAAATCTTAGCACGAAGCTCGCACGGCGACGAATCACCGGAAGCAACGACACGTAAGTACTCATGACGAGTGATTTGCTAAGACAAATTAACTGTCAGTATTTTTCGTAATATAGATATGAAAGTAAAAGTCAATCAACTGCTGGAAATGGTCCGATGAAACCAAGCCTAAACACGACATAAATCGATCAATACCCTAGAGTAGGTAACTTGAGAAATTTTGCAGTTTTTACTGGACTCAGTGATTGTTAGAGACCAACAGCTCAAAGATCAAATATTGTTTATACAGCCTAATATATATCATGGGAATAATAAATCGAATAAGGAAGAATATCTCGCCATTTTCCGATTTCCGCAGACACAATTCTGCCCACGGGCTAACTACGATATTTCTTAACACTGACCTAGTCCACGAAATTAACCAGTTTATCCTGTATTTCGGTTCATTTTACTCAGAAAATCGTCTACAGTCGATCGGTGATATTTTCGTAGAAACACTGTTAATACATTATATGCTGGCTATCTTGCGCGTTTCACCTGGCGTGGCGCGGATCATTTTTGGCGACTTGACCGCATCAGCAAGGGATTTCAAGAAGTTGCTTTAATTACTAATTTACTGTGAATTTTTATTTAATCTTTTTTTTACTATTCCTTCAATGTCTTGCTCTCAAAATACATTCTTTATAAATACTAGATATTTTTTAACAATAAAAAAAACATTACACATTAAATTTTTCGGTTTAAAAATCGATTTATAAGGTTGCATTTAGTACAAAACAATATATTTAAATCTTTAATGATGTTCTATGGTATGGTATCGCTCAATTCTAAAGGATATATGAAAGACGTACTAGTACGTGTTCCACAGACTATCGACAGTGTACAAAAAACGTACTAATACGTGTCCAGCATACAATGTGTTAGTAATACCGCAAATTAGAATTCTCCTGGTAAAAGTTTTATACCTAAATCACTTATAATAAAATGAAATAAAAAGTGATAGGGTGGAACTCCATTCGCAGATATCCAAGCTAAATGCTTTTGCAGACGTCCAGATCTTAACTGTAATCAGTTTGATGTTTTGTACCGTTTATCCGAAGACACTCGTGTCTGCAGCCGCGATTCAAACGAGCGAAAGGAGAAAGAGGAAAAAGATCGCTGGGCGGGATATAATAGCGGAATCCTTTCGTAGCACGTTGCTCTAGAGGCGTTCGAAGGGACACACGATACCGTGGGCGTTTCTGCAAACTGTGTCATCCATGGCGTCTGGCACAATCAGTAGAAATCCGGTTGATCCAGATTCCTCTCTCATGCGGATACGGGTCATAACTCTTTTCTCAAGGACAGCTTCGAAATACAATCGCTCAATGTCGTTGTAACGCGTTTCGCGACAAGGGGACTCTCGGTTCAATTACGTTTTCGCCCATCGATTTACAAACGGACTTCATCCCACACGCTATCCGTTCATGAGAATTAACCGTACGCAAGATTCGTTAAATTAATAGTTCCGTATAACGTTAGAGCAATGAAATTCGTTCTAGCAAGAGAATTGATTTCATACGTTTGATATTCACCTCGTGTTAAAGCTTATCGATTTAATTCTGATTCGTCTATTCCGATGATTGATTCTCGCGTGCAAAAACCATGAAACAGATACTATATCTTCCTACCATGCACGACGAACCTGACCTTAAATTCATACAATTAAAAGAACGAAAAACTAATGCCTCTATACTTTTCGTTCAAGCACTTCTACACGATTCATTCGTCTGAATTCATTAGAAATTCATCGATTCTTCAGACTCGCTTCAATTATTGTTGCATATAATAATAATGCCGGGAAAGTTTCGATTAGAATTATAAAAATTCCTAGTCGGAATATCATGGAACACGTTACGCTCGGCGTGCAAAAAAAAGCTTGCGGTATTCTTCCGGTTTCACTTTACCTACTCACTGCAACCGCAGCGTGAACTTTTAATTAATGCTCAGCAAAGTGAGAAATATGTTTCTTTTTCTTCTCAAACGTATTAACTGCGCGGAATCGACGTGTTTCAGGCCGAACGTACACGACGAAACACCATATATACCGTGAACATTTGTAATTCCCGTCTCTTCTTCACGCGAATTAATTGCAGAAAATATGAAAAATCTTCTTGCCGCCTTTTGTAATTGATCCAAAAAGATGGGGAATATTAATTTGCACGCGTTCAAGTTACGCCCATTTAAAATCACGAAACGGGGCCAAGCGGAAAGGAGTCGAGGAACGAGGAAGAACCGAAACGAGACGCGACGCCGGCATACACGGGTTGCGCATACGTGTGAAGCAACGAATGCAATCTCTCCCGCCGCCTTGCCTGTCCTGTAACACCGCTTCCTACCCCACGTGTTTCATCGCGCACAACCGGGCACCAGCGGTCCCAGACGCACGAATCTTCCCGAAAGCTGGCTCGCGGCCAGGTCGTCGGTGAGCAACTGCGAAAAGGCGCGAAACTTCTAAAAATAACTAAAAGGCACCTAACCGACGCGCTCATTCGCGCGCGCGCGAGCTAGGTACCAAGACGGCTCTCCTCATCAGCACCGATTCTCCCCTCCTCCAACAAGGGGTTTCATTTTTTTGTTTTCCCCCTCCTGGAATAGCGCTGTTTCTAAGCCAACGACACACACGTGCCACCTATTTTCGGTTTCGCCCAGATTCAGATTCCCTTTTTTTTTTGTTCCTCTTCTTCTTTTCGTCGTTTTCTCGATCGGTTCACACCGACACCGTTCTATCTTTCTCTTCCCCTCTCTTTCTCTCTATCTCTGAGGAAGGAAGTGTCTCGTGTTTCATTCCTCTATCCTCGGTCGAGACCCAGCCAACGTAAGTCGATACCATCGAACGCTTAATTGGACACGGTTGACCGATGTATTTGAAGAAAGAATACCCCGCGAATCGTAACGAGAACGCGGAAGCCGATATACATCGTGTCCGCGCGCAACTGGCCATTGATTACTACGATAATATTTGCATTAATACACACCGGAACCCCCAATGACGAACAGCATCAACGGGGGCACTTTACTGTTTCTCGGATTGTCCTTGGTTACTGTTCGTTATCAGATGTCGGTGTATAAACCTGGCCGAGAATCCTGCTGTGTGGGATACAGACTCCTCTCGATTATCGTCCCGAACAAGGGTCCGCGCCGGGACAATAATCCTGTAGGGAGAAATGCTTCAGACCCTCGTAAATTCATTTTTTGCCCAAAGTCCGACCCTCAGCAACAAAGTATGCGCTTGACAGGTTTCATGGCCTACCCCTCAGTGGTGGGTATGACGCTTGGACAATAATCGTGTAGAACAAGCCAGACAATAATCGAGAGGAGTCTGTAACACGCGGAAATCGTGAAACACCCGAAGAAAAATAAAAGGTCATCCAAGAGGAATTTAAAAAGGTAAATCTAACTATATCTTGAAAATCATAAGAAATAGTTCGTTTCTACTAATATGAATAAATTGATATTTTAGAACGAACAGGCGACCAAGTTTCGTTTAAAGCAGCAGTTCCCAACCTTGAGGTACATGTTCGTTCAGAGGTACGTGAAAAGAATTGAACTGACAGCAGCTATATAAATTACAATCATTGTTCTAATATTAGGATGTACAATTCAGGAATATTGACTACCAAGTGGTACGCAAGTCAAGCAAGATTGAGAACCACTGGTTTAAAGTAATTTCAAGTTTTCGTATTCCTATGTATCGTACAAAATGCAAAAAAAAAAAACAAGAACGAGTAGGCTATGTGAATCCGCTATGTAAAAATTCTTTAAACATACAGCGTTGAAGCTATCGCGTTTCGTGGAACAACGGTAGTATTCCGAGTGGAGACGGAACCGGGAGGCCAATCGAGTATAAAAATTGGCTAGGCCTCGCAAATAAAAAAAGTGGGGGCGGGCATGTGCCGTACGAAACATGGTCCCGACTAGATCAAGGTGGCCGAGGAAGAGGTCACCGGCCCAGCCGTGATCATAGACGGTTGTGGCGCGCGGCAAGAGGAACGCTTGGAAGCGGTTGCTCTGACGAAAAGAGAGTCGGCGGACTGGTATATAGTCGATGTTAATGGAAGTGTTTAGTAACACTTTACGAATAAACTCGCAACATACAGATTCATCGACTGAAAATAGATACCCTTAAATGTTACGATCTACCTTATTGTTCGTGTGTTGTACAACAGCTCTGATTAGGATACGCTAATAACAGAGGCTATTGCCAAGGTTGATACTTTTAACACTGTTCACCACGACATTCCCTTTACACACAGACAGTATTATTTAACATGAGAATTTGTGTTATATATACATATGT